TTTTATTGGACATTCCCTGGTAGTATTCTACTGTGTCTACTGCATGGCATTGCTGGCGTGAACTCTTTCTTCTTAGCTGATCCTGTTGGATGTTATTGCAAGCATCAACTATGGCTAAAAGATTTTGTTGCTAAAGATGTTGGATGATTGTTATGTTCAAGTATTGCAAATAAAAATGATAGTTTTGAGAAGTTGTGGTGGATTTTTTTTTTCAATTAACTCTTCTAGTGGGGCTATAAGAACTTGCTCTGGTAATATAGATTGTAATCATACAGCGGTTTTCTGCAGGCCTTTTGAACTTCTGGAGCAATATCGGATGCGTGATTTTTCTGAAGGAACTTCTTTTTTTGGTAGGTTTTCTGAAGGAACTTTGCATCCATTTGAGTGTACACAGAGCTAGATTGCTTCTTACCTCCTAAAGATACATACAGGTAATCAAGTTCTTTTGTACAGGAGTAATCCTGTTTTAATGTTGTGGCAGTGAACTTGTTTTAAGGCCTCTGTGAAAAGAACCTGATAACAGTTTGCATATTAATTGACCTGGTGACTAGAAAAAGACTGAGGTATTTAAGGAGGAGAATTTGGAGGGAAGGAAAATCAGGGTCTTTTTATAAATTCTATACAACCTAAATTAGCTAGTGAATTTGAGTTCAGTTCTTTTGATATTAAAGTTCAGTACATTTTTGACTTGTCACTATGTATTTGAAGTGTTGTTAGTAGTTGTCGAGAGCTATGATACCTTTACACGGCTATTTCTCCATGGCAGAAAATATCTACAGGAATTATATTACCTGTCAACACCAAGATGGGATACTTATGATGTGAAAACCGAAAGTAACTTTTGATACAATTGATTTATTCAGTTTGAGACTGTCAATGATTCTTTAAGGATATCACAATTCATCAGCTGGTCTGGCTTGTAAGATACCCTAATTTGTTTCGCCTTGTGAATGGGGCAAAAAAGAGCCAAAACTAAAGTTATATTAAATCGAGTAATCTGTGTGTGTTTGTGTCAGATCTTATGAGCTATTAAATGCTGATTCTTTTTTCTTTTCTGGTTTCACAGAAGGTTTGTTACAGATGTTCAACAATCAGCTTTTGGCAGTAGAAAATTAGATGATCATTTAAAGCTTGTTGTGCCTCGCAACAATAAGGTAATGATTGAATAAAGTACGGGCACCTGTAGAGCTGCTTAAGTAGTATGCAATCATTTGTTATTTTAGTTTTCAAAGGTTTGTCCATCCTTCACCCATCTTAGGGGATTTTTATTGTCAATATGTTGTTAAATATATTTCTGTACAGTTAATCGCGTGAATGTAAATATTTTCTTGACTTCATCTGGCAGCATTGATGAGAGTTTGTATAAATTTCCAATGCAGAGTTTTCTTTAAACTTGTCTTGGCCTTGTTTGGTCTATCCTATTTTTTATATGTATGATTGCTTATTTTTGTTTTCGGGAGCTGTAGTATTTTAGAAGATTGTAGCTTTGGTGGTGATAGCGTATGGTCCCATCTTATTATTTGGATCTAAGGAATCTTTTCATTTGCCTTTTGGAAGCCCTTGCCTAGCATTCGAGTATTTCATGTTCAAACACTAGTTCATTGTCTTATTAACAGGTTCTGTAGGTCTGGTGACATCAAAGCTCATTTTTTGTTCTTGATGCTATGCTTGAACAAATTAAGATTATGTTTGGAATAAATATATATATATTTTTTAAAAAATTATTAAAAATTTACATTTATTTTAATTATGAAATAGGGCGTATTTTTCTTAAAAAATGATAAACATGTAGTTCATGGGCTGTTTGATGTATGATTTTCTAGCATATCAATTTAGTCATTGTTTTCGTATCTTAAAAAAGTATTTTTACCATTCGAATTTTTAGAAGCTCAACAATTTTTATTTCATTCCTAAAAATCCTTGTATGTTAGGATTGCATATATAATTTATTTTTGGTTGGTTGTGTTTTTATAATTGCATATATAATTTATTTTTGGTTGTATGTGAACTATAATTGTGAATGGCACATTCTTGTACGCGATTACTTGGAGAGATATAGATAGGATGTGGTGAGATGACATCCATGGAAGAGGTATTATGGGGACCATTGGAAAACAGAACAAATATGAGAAAATCAAATACGACTTTTTACAAACACGTATGTATGTACATCTGTCTGTGTGTGTCATTATGGAGCCGTGGAACCAAACGTGAACCTGCTAAATAAAACATGCTGAAATTAGTTGAAGACCCAGCATGATGACATGACAGCCATTTTGGTGGGTGGGTCCTTGTTTTGTTCGATTTGTGTGATCTCTATTTAGCTGAATGATGACATGAGTTGCTACATATATATATATATATATATATATGAGAGTAACCACATCGTACATTTATAATATATAATAAATTTTGTTATTTCAACTAAATCAATTAATTTTGATTTAGACTTATTAGGTATTGTATTTAAGATCTGCTGACTGCTTTTGTGAAGGAAATGATTTTATAAAAGAAACTTCTGGTTAATAGAGGGGATGAGTCAACGTCCACCGTGTAGTAGTCGTAGGGTCAAGGTTGATTAAGAAATTGCCTCAACTTATCGTAAGTGGGAGAGCATCTAATATTTGACCGCAACATCTCGATGGAGGTCAACACATAACAATTTCTTCATGTGGATTTGGTATTCCTCTACAGTCCCTTCATATAATAATACCCATATATATATATATATACATATATAATACTTCTTTCAAACGGCACCGAAATATTCATTTTGTACTGTTTGTTCCACTAAGGACCATGCCTTCTAGTCTTAGTCTACGATGAAGCTTCTTCTCCAAGATGGGTTCTATCAGATCAAATAAGAAATTCTTGAAAAATTTCCAAGTGTTCAATCTATAATGTTTTTTTTATTTAGTTGTGTGCTCAATTTTTTACAATATTATTTATGAGATCTGTCATACTTATGAATTAAACAATTGTCAATTTCTATATAAATTTTAAATTTATCCTGAAATTTAACTTTAAAAAATACTTTGTTATTTGTAGTTTTAAAATAATAAAATGTTTATCTGTTCAAGAAAAAAAAAGTAATGAGATATTTCATTCTTCTCTCGGAAAGACAACAATCTAAATCCGTGTACGGTAGTAAAAATATGGAGAGATGATATTTTTTACTCTGTCTAAATAAAATATTCAAAAATAAAAATTATAGTATTGTTTATTTTTTATATTTAATATTTTTTTTTAAAAGAAACAAATTCTAGTTTGTAATATAATCAAAAATAGAAAGGGAAGAATATATCAAACTTGAAAAAATATGCTGATGATGAGGACGTGAATAAATTATAGTTTGATCCACCCATTGAGCTCTCTTATCTATCAAACCATTTACACCAAGGAAGAGGAAAAAAATGAAGAACAAATTTAAATAAGTTTTTTTATTTATATAAATTTATTTAAAAGTAACGATACACCTTTTTAAACAATAAGGTAACATAATAAAATTTTTACATCATATATTTTTAACATATTCTTAATGGGTGAATAAATACTGAATATTTAGAACGATATCTATCTATATATATATATATTATAATAACAAAAATATAAATATATATGAAATTAGAATAATATATTTTAAATTCAGTTAATTTATTCTAAACATAGCATATGATCAGTGACAAAATTTTTAAGGTTTATATTAAAATTTTACTCTTATTATCGTGTAATTTTTGTCAAAAATTTAAACTCGTCATTTAGAAAAAATAATATATTATTTATTTTATATATTCTCACTACCCTTCATAATTTCTTTTCCATCGTATATGATATATATATATATATATATAATGCACTATTTTATTTTCTTACTATATTTACTATTAATAACTTTCTATTTCAATTAATGAGTCTTTTGAAAATTAGGTGATGATAATCTACCACATTCTTTTGTCTTTCCAATTTATACAAATTTGTCAAAGCAAACTCCTTATGGATAGACTTCTTTGATATAACCTAAAAAAAGAATGTTATGAACGAAATTCAACAAAGCCAACCACAAATCCAAATTAATAAATTATTTACCTTTTTTCCTTTTTGAAATATTATTTTTTTTTCAGGCAATAAGAATCCTCTGCATATATTTACACACTTGCCCGATATTATTATTACTTTTCACACACGAGACGGGACCAACGAAAATGATATCCACATTTTTTATAATACTTTTTTCTATAAATATATATTAATT